TGTGGAGTACCACCGCAGTGCGGCCCTGTGCAGTACCACATGGAGTATCACTAGTATCACTCTATGCAGTGTCACCATGGAGTACTACCAAGGAGTACTTCTGTGGAGTATCACTGTAGTACCACTCTGTGCAGTGCCTTCTGTGCGGCCTGAGGAAACTGATCCCATCCATGCCCTCCCAACGGATCACACCCCACTTGCAGCACCAGGTGTGATTTCTCCTGTCGCCTTCTCTCTTCTTGCAGATGTGGACGAGTGTCAGGACAACAATGGTGGCTGCCAGCAGATCTGCGTCAATGCCATGGGCAGCTACGAGTGTCAGTGCCACAGTGGCTTTTTCCTCAGCGACAACCAGCATACCTGCATCCACCGCTCCAACGGTGAGTACTGCCCATGCTGACCAGGCACGCCTCCCACCCCACGCCCCCAGAAACAGGCGGCCCCGGGAAACTCCCTTCTCCACGTCTTGATTCCAGGGGCCTCAGGGTCCAGGCAGGGAATTTGGGTGGCGGCCTGAATGGCTGTTTTGTGCTTCTGGTGTTGGTTCTGCACAGAACTCCTCCCAGCTCCCGCCCACCGCCCACTACACCAGGGCCGTTGGTGCTCCCGGTGTTTTTATGTGGAGGCGAGGTGGGGCCGCAAATGGGCAGATGTGACCAGAGAAGCTGTTTTCCTTTCTGGGCTGAAGGCCGGCTGTGGCCAGGCAGAGTGGGGCCCCATCCTCCGTGGTCCCCCTTCCCCAAGGTGAGCTGGAGGTCTGACCAGGCCGAGTGCCAATTTCTCGGTCTCTGCACGTTAACTGGGTCACCAGCCAGCCGAGGGTCCTTGTGGTCGGGAGCCTGCTGCCCCCTGGATGCTGGGTGGGATGGCAGGCCAGCCGGCGTGCTGGAGTAGCCTGGCACAGCCCCAGGCTGGGACAGAACCTGGCCTCTAGCCAAGCCCAGCAGGTGAAGGGCCCTGGTTTCAGGGGAGGGGTGGTCAGAGTTTAGGCCCAGGGCAGCAGGACCGCGAGGTAGGACAGTGGGCCAGAAGGCAGGACCCCATGCCTAGAGGAGAGGGGCTTCTAGGTAGAGGGAACAGCATTTGCGAAGGCTTAGAGGCGTATCTTGCTTAAGATAATGGCAAGGTCTGGAATCTCGAGGCAGGCTCTGTGCTGCAGCCAAGTGGGCTGTGGACACGGGCGAGAGCCAGCACTCCTGGGGCCCGGCCAGTGTGTGCGCTCATGAGAGTGGTGGTTTTAAATTATCCGTTTTTTATAAATCAATACTTTCTAATGGAAACAACTTGGCCAGAAATTTGTCACAGAATTTTGAGACCCATTAAAACAAAAGTTTAATAGGGAAAAAAAAAAAAAAGAGTAGATGGGGAAGGAGGCCAGGACAGCCACATGGCCCCAGCCTGAGCCCAGCCCCCAAGGAGGAGGTGCGGGAGGGGCCTGGCTTGTGACTGTGGCACCAGCAGGAGACCAGGGAGTGGCTCACACTGAAAGGTGGGGACAAAACCCTGGGCTCAGAGGCCTGGTGGGTATGAATCCAGCTCTGCGGCTCCCTGCCGGGGAAGCCCCTACCGCCCTGAACCCCTCAGCTTCCTCACGCGCAAAGTGGAGATGTGGCACTGACCCACCAGGGTCTTTGGAGGATGGGACGGGACCTCGGGCGTGAGGGCTCCTGCGTGCACTAGAGTTACAGGGTTTGCAAGGCGAGGCTTGGGGACGCTGGGTGTGCTTTTTACCGGAAAGCAATCCCTGAGAAAGAAAAGAGGAAAATATTTAAAAGTACAAAGCCCAAGGCAGAGAAGCACAACTGCTTTACTGGACGCCTTTCAGTGCTTGGTGCTTATTTAGGCAGTTTCCTCAGAGACAAGACAGGCCTGATAGTCCCCACGCTGCTGTGTTCCCAGAAGGATGCGAAGGCCAAGCTCTGTGGTCCCCGGACACTCACCGCAGCTGCACCCGTGAGGCCTCCCAGCTGCGGGGCTGTGGGGCTGTGGGGTCGAGCTGCCCAAAATGAGGACCCGGCGCCCAAGTGGAGTTTTATAAGAAGCAGATTTATGGGGAAGTGAGTGAGTGGTGGTGGTGGGAGGGGGGGTCCTGCTTTCATCAAGGAGGGGGTTTTACGGGGTGACTGCTCTGAGCAAGCCATAAAGTCCCCAAGGCCAGGGTGGCCTGAGCCTCTTTTCCAGCCAGTCCGTATGTGCTCTGTTCCTTTGAAGAACAGCTTTCCCACGAGCAGGGCTCCAGGTGAAGTCGTGAGGCCCCTGGTTGAAAGGAGGGTGCACGGAATGGGGAGCCGGCTCAGTGTAAGATGCGAGACCACAGCTGTGGCCTGTTTGTAACCGGGGCCTGCTTTGGCCTGGAGGCATTCATTTGGGCTACAGATGCCACAAAACAAATCTCAGCATCAGCCAGAAGAGTAGGTCCGGGGGGACATGATAATGGGGGGCAGCAACACTGGCTGCTGTGGGGTCACGTGCTTACTCTGAGCCAGGCCCTCGCAGCGACCTGGTGAGGTGGGGATATGATGACCCTGTGACAGGTGAGGAAGCCAAAGCAGTCAAGTTAGGAGCCATGCCTGAGGTCATACCCTAGGGAACTGGCGGAGTCAGGACTCCGGCCCGGGCCTTCAGCTGTGATGTGATGAGGCTGGTGAGGAAAGAAAGGGGCTGGAGGAAGACAGAAGTAGGCAGAAGCCACATGTGAGCTGAAGCCAGATGACCAGCAAGACCAGCCATGGGAAGAGTTGGGGGTGGGTGTGTGCCAGGCAGTGTGTGTGCAAAGGCCCTGAGGTAGGAATGGACCAGGCTTTGGTGAAAAGCAAAATGAAGGGTAGGGTGGTGGAGCACCGCGAGCCAAGGGGAGAGGAGCCCAGGATGAAGGGAGTCTGGCAGGGCCCAGACCCCGTGAGGCTGGTAGGGTGTGGGCAGGAGTTTGAATTTCATGCAGAAGGCAGCCCTGGGAAATGTGCTAGAGGGCAGAGTGGAGGCCTTCAGGGCATCTCAGATACTGGACCTCAAATTACTTGTGTGGTGGAGCCTTGAGGCCGCATGCCTCACCCTTCCCAAAGGCCCTGGCTAGCCAGATCCTGAAGCCAGCAATTGAGATTTAGCCAGAACACAGATCTGGGGGCCTCAACCTAATCTTTGTTAACCAGCACTAACCAGCACATTGGTTAAAGAAGTCCCTTCTCTTACTAGGATTTTTGTGTGAATCTCCCAATTTTTATTATTTTTTAAAATCTTTTCTAAAGATTTATTTGAGGGAGAGAGAGAGCACAAGCAAGGGGAGCGGCAGGCAGAGGGAGAAGCCGGCTCCTCGCTGAGCGGGGAGCCCGATGTGGGGCTCCATCCCGGGACCCTGAGATCATGACCTGAACCACCCAGGTGCCCCATGAATCTCCCAATTTTTAAATCTGGGCAATGAGTCAGTAAAAAAAAGCAGCAGACAGCATCTTGGACCCCTCCTGAGGGACAAGTGACAGCATTTCCAGGGTCCCCAAAGGCTGTGCGGGAAGTCCGAAGAGGACAGGCCAAGTGCACGGTACCTCTGCCGGCTGCCCTTAACGCCTGCGGGTAAAGACAGCCCGGGTGACCGGGCACGTGGCGTCCCTCCTGAGCCTCCGCCGGTTGTGACAACTGCCCATCATGACTGTGTATCAACTACAGTAATGATGGTTAGAGCTCAAAATCAGAGGGTGTCCGGGGTGCAGGGACCCAGCTTCTTTTGCGCCTAAGTGTCCTCTGATCCCTGTTGCCTCTGGGTTGGCCCATGGGTCCAGAGCTGTTTGGCAAATCAGACTCCTTGTGTCACCTGACTCCTCCTAATGCCTGCTTCTCGGAGCCTCCCCCTGAGCAGACAGAATCGCACGAAGGCTGCTTCTAATGAGAGGGGACTGGATGCATGAGCAAGGTCAGCCAGGGTCAGTCTAGGCTCCTGGCCGAGAAACAAGGGCATGGGACTCAGCCCTCCTGAGTGGCCCCACGTCCTAGGCACCAGTGCAAACCCTGGCCCAAGGCACGTGAATCTGGCCAGGCTGGGGCTGGGGGTTCTAGGTTTTCAGCTGTTCTCCATCTCCACCAGCCACGCAGCCTCAGCACAGCCACTCCTGCCTCGCTGGGGCTCCTCGCCTGTAAACTGGGACCAGTGATCCCTCCCAGGCAAGTGAGGGATCCATTAGGGAAATGCTCTGAAGCAGGCGAGTGCAGTGCCCGCCCTAGGGGTGGCCATTCGCAGGCAGCTTCTTCCAGTCTTTAGAACTCAGGCTCGATTTGGGGAGACAGTGGTTCCTGTGTGCCAGCCCTGGGCAGGAGGGGACACAGAGCTGTCGTGACCTGGGGCCCATCTCCTTCTCAGCGCTTCCAGGTGCTGGTTCTGGCACCGTAACAGCCCACGTTTGCCCCAATTTAGGCTCTGGCCCCGCAAGCGATAACAGCCTGGGGCAGCCAGTCCGGGCCAGTCCCAGCCTGCACTGCCCCCTTCATGGTCATGCGCTCTGGGAGCCTGTCCAGTACCAGAGGGGATGGGCCACCGAGGAGCCAGCACCTTCTAGCTCCCTCCCTCTCCCGTGCCTGCTCTTTATTCTTAAATTTATGTCATGTCTGTGTTGCAAGAAGGTGTTGCCTCCTGGATGAACTTGTCTCTTTCCTCCTGAAGAATTCCTTCTTTCAGTCTGAGCAGCATTGATTTAGGAGGAGAAGGTGCTCAGAGAGGCGTGGGTCTGACCAGCAGTGTGATTGTGGGCTGTGTTTCATTCATTCGCGTGCCAGGTGTCCGGCTGGTCCCTGGGGATCCCAGGGTGAGCAAAAGCAGACATGGTCCCCTGTGAAGCTTTCAGTCGAGAAAAAGGACTAAATGCTAGGCAAGGGTTGAAGTTGCTGGCTAATAGTGAGCTGAGAAAACACGCTCTGGAGAGAAGGATCTAGAGCTCCTGGGGTCTAGTGTTCTCATCTGAACAGGGGAGGTGGTCATGAGAATGGTTTTCTCATCAGCCCGGTGAAGGAGTGCCACTCTTTTTTTTTTTTTTTTAAGATTTTATTTATTTATTTGAGAGAGAGAGAATGGGAGATAGAGAGCACAAGAGGGAAGAGGGTCAGAGGGAGAAGCAGACTCCCTGCTGAGCAAGGACCCCGACGTGGGACTCGATCCCGGGACTCCAGGACCATGACCTGAGCCGAAGGCAGTCGCCTAGCCGACTGAGCCACCCAGGCGCCCAAGGATTGCCATTCTTAAGAGCGCACGTTCTGGGGCCTGGCTGCCCAGGCCAGAACCCCAGCTCCAACACTCAGTATCTGTGTGACCTTGAGCAAGTCACTTGACTCCTCTGTGCCTGCAGGGCCTATGAAATGGGGATAGTCATAGTACCTACTTCATAGGATTGACGAGATG